CAGCTGTTAGATAAAGCCAAGTAAATATTGGTATGTGTAGGTGATATAAGGCGACATATTCCCCCAGAGATTTAGTCGCACTAGCAAACGGCTGAATTCTATAGGTCTGCATAATCTGGTGCTCTTCCAAGGACTGCATGGAAATAAAAGCAGGGCAGGGATATTACACGCTTCCTTAAAAATATGTGCCATTATTTTGAAATCTTTGAGAGATTCGGCTTCTGTTTGGTAAATAAATAAAATGTAGTACACACAAAAACTGGTTGATTTTATGTATAAGAATATATATATTGCAGTGTGTGGGAGGATAAAATAGGAAATGTATTTACTTTCTATCCCTCCATCCATTCTATATTTAGCATAATCTGTCTAACAATGTATGGCCAAAAGTATATGGACACTCGAACATTTCACCCATGTCCATGTGATAATGGACAATGGGTATTAATCTGCTATTTCAGCCTCCTTTCTTCTGGTTTCCATCAGATGTTGGATTCCCCGGCTGCAGGGATTTGTTCCCATTCATTCACAAGAGCATTAGTGAGGTCCAACACTGATGCTGGGTGAGGGGTCAGTCGGCGTTTCAGTTCCATGCCAAAAAGGTGTTGGGATGGGGTTGAGGTCCAGGCTCTGTGAAGGCCACTCAACCGTATCCACATGAAACTGGGAAAAGCAATGGCTTTACACAGATGGGGAAAGGTCATGTTGAAACAGGAAATGGCCACTAAATTGGAAATAGCATTAAAGACTCATCTTATTGGAGAACCACGTCAACAAAAGCGCCATATTCTTACAATATTTCCATTACTAACACCAAAAAATGCAAATATTTTTATATTAATTTCATCTTTATTGTTCGCAGCCAAACAACAAACGAAGGCCTGAAATCTGCTCTGTTCTCATTAACCGCACCTTTGAACTTTGCCATCATTTTTCACCAAGCATAATACATTCAGACGCACACAACTGACTCCCTGAAACACGTCAGAATTAGTTTTTCGACCATGCTGTGACAATAAATTGACATGGAACAACTAGAAAAAAACAGTAAAATCTTTCAGATTATATTATATATCATGTTGTGGGCCAGACTGAAGGGGATGGAGGGCTAGAAATGTCCCACGGGCCGGCAGTTTGAGACCCCTTCATTAAGACTTCTTAATGAAGGGACAACAGCCTCAGGCCAGAAGTACGCCCTGTCCATATACTTTTGGCCATATAGTGTATCTTATCTCATTTCGAGGGTTATGGGGGCGTTTCAAGCACGTGTAAACCAAAAGCCAGTCTATCAGTTACACTTGTTCAAAATGGCCTGAAAACAGAGTCTCAATAAAACTGGACATATTAACCTTCAGAAAGGTTGAATGTGTTGCAGGGCTGTCACTGGATTGTATCACTTACTTCAGAAATTCATGATATTATATAAGTCCATTTCCTTATCTTGTTCCAACAACTTGAGCAAATTAAACTGATGTATTTGAATAACTGAGATTGCAATTTATCTTTGCAGCTGCAGACCTTTGCTCTTCCTCATGTTGTTCTACATTTTCTGTCTTAAAACAAAGACCACAATGTTTTAGTGAAAATGCCTCGCCGGCTTTGAAATTACCGTGAGCCCAAAATCTGTGAGAGATTTAAAAGAACCGTTTTGTTTATTTGTCCAGGTGAGACAGATGCCATTTGGACTCTGAAAGCGCGAGTCGTCCAAGAATTAGAAACATTAACAAACAAGGATTTATGGGTAGAAACCAGCTTTGTCTTTGTGTGCTCTTAATCTCGAACAGTATAAACACACTAATACCCCAGTCTAATCCATCACGTTTCACTTAAAGTGCAGACTGCAATCAGATTTGTGTTGACTGCCCCCGTCTCTCGCTGCCAAATTCTCTAACCTGGCAGGTTGACACGTTACGACAACTCTGTCCAATAAATAAGCAACTTATGAATTCATGTGACTGTGTTGTTGTTTCGAGCCGGTGTGAACTTTAACAAAGCCAAACAGAAATGCAGTAACGTAAACCTCCCTACAATAGTTTGATCCTGAGAATATAAACTGTGGATGTGTGCTTGGACGCACTGTGTGGGGACTGTCTGTCTCTCACTAATGGACATTGTGCACTGACTGAACTATTTGTCCTCCTGCATCCTTCTTCTTCTTCTTGTGCCTGCAACACGTGGACCTGTTTGTACTTGTTACTACGTTGTTTCCTCGTGAGTCACCAACACTGATCCCTGTTCAGTTACTACACTTGACAAACGCTGTAAATGTCATGCACAAGTTGACATTAAGGGTGTAATTGTTTAACAGTGGAGGGACAGGAGCGAATGCTTGACTGAAAACCTCCAAAAAGGCCACGTCTACCATGCTATTTTCAAGATAATTACAAAGTGTGACAATAATACCAACCAGACAAGTAAATGTTGATTTCATTTGCATGATAAAGACCTTAAAGGAATATTCTAGCAACCTTGTTTTCTTCTTTCCGATTAAATAAAAAAACGATCAAAACTGATGAATCATATGCTGTGAAATCCAAACTTTTACTCTCCAGTGTTCAAAGCTACACATTTCCCATGATGCAACTGACCAGCATCTTTCGATAGACCCCCCCAACCCACCCCCCGTGTCTGGTAAACGTCTTTCAAATTGCACGCCCCTCTGACTTTGATTAAAAATGTAAACCTCCAAGCTGAGATAACGCAGCCAGACAGACAGAGCAGACAGTAAATTGATCTTGATGTGTAAAATTGGTGGAGTGTGCTTTTAAAGTGAGACCTCCTTTGTTGCCTGATCCTGAGGTTCAATCTTAAAGCAACATTATGCAGATATTCTACCTTAAATGGGGTAATAGGGCGAATGGGCCCTGGTCGTTGACAGTCTGAGCCCCCAACGCCATTCTTTGCAATATTTGGTGAAACTGGATCATATTTCATGTAGAAAATGTTTTCTGTTGTCCTCTGGTTACTCCGCCTCAACCCTGTGTGATTTACAGAGTTTCATGATGGACAGAAAGCTTTACAAGTTGCTAAAGCAAATTAACTGCTTAGCTAGTTGGCTCAGGTAGCCACGCTGCCAGGACTGGGAGCTCAAAGCACCGGGGAGGTAAAGGAGCTTTGGACCGCCGGGGGGGGGTCTTTTAGGCCGGGGCGAGGGGGGAGGTGTTGTGCCAGAACTGGAGCCGGGCGAGCAGGCCACAGAACCAGGATCAGCAGCCTCTACGGACACCATGGCAGAGGCTAAGAGACCGAAGAGGATGTTGGCAGAGGAAGATGAGAAGAGACGCCAGACAGACGGTGAGCTGGCCTTCATGCTGTTGGACTAGTAAGCGATATTAGCTGGTTTGCTATGTCTTGTGTTGTTGCACTATATTTACGACAGCTGGGGGGCGCCAAACTGCACACAGATTCTCGCTAGAAAGGTTTTAACAGTTCAGTTTCTTCATCTTGTGCTTACATGTTGCATATTCACAAAGTTAATTGTGTTTAATAAAATTATCTTACAACATACCTGGGGTCATCAGAGACCATGCATGCTGCACAACAATTGCAGGAAATGGGGGGAATCAAGGACTCAATAGCTAATTTTTGCCCCAAAGGTCCCCAAACAGGTTTCATTTTGGCCTGATCACAATCTTCAAATTCCTGGTTTTGTCCAAACAACACACCAAACCACCGAAGGTATTCAGTTAACACTCATGTGAAACAGAGACAGGGGACAATGGTTGTCAATGTGCTTTCTGTCAGTTGATTAATCGACCAATCTGAGCCCACGTTCATTGTGGTGTTGTACGAACTCTACAGCAGATATCATCCTGAAGGCTGCTGCGGTGAGACCGAGAACAGACACTAGGTGGTAGGTTGCCATTCATACTGCTTTAAAAACACACATACAACAACCATAAATAACTCAGCTGATAGACCGACATCTACAAAAAAAAAACCTGCAGGAAATGATTTGACAGACGAGGAGGAAACCGCTCACAAAGCAGTAAAAGGTTTACCACTCGCAGAGCAAGAAATCAAACCGACATCAAGTCTCATTCTAACACAGTAATCCTGCAGGCAATTAAGTTAACAGAGAATTAAGTAAGAGTTGACACATCCTAAATGTTGGATGGAGTCCAGCAGCAGCAAATCAGGCTTTTAAAACAAACAGGGGGATTACAAGCTTCTTCAAATTCATGAAGGAGGAGGAGGAATACATAGAAATGTAATGAGAATGCAGCATTCGCAAGACTGCAACCAAAACTTTACATTTACAATCATATGGCCTTAAATCCTCCTCATCGGACCCAATTCTTGTTGCATTTCCAGGAGCTGTATCAGGCAGAGAGGATGTGGCACGCTTATCAGTTCTACTTCTGCATCTGAGAAACACATTGGAGAGAGGAAACAAGCCACCTACATTTCATTAGCACCTTGCGATTCCACTCCAGGGCCGGCAGTAAAGACGCTTTAATAAATAAAACTCCTAATTGTCTGTAAACCACACCAAAAAAATCCACTAATTCCTGTTTGTAAGTAAGGTTTGTAACCAGAGCCAATCACTCAAACAATGGGCAACAATGACATTGGGGGGGGGATTGGTTTAACAACACAAAGGATGTCTGATAGTGAAACAACAAAAGGGGCATATTGACTCAGACAAAGCAACACAAATGCCTGTGCATTGTAAAGAAACACTGAGCTGCAGAGGGTGTCAGGTCAGAAAAGGGAGTGGGAATAAAACTAAATAAAATATTCCAAGTTCATCAAAGTGCACTTGAATAACAATCAGGACCGACTGAAGCACCAAAAGTGTGCAGACACAAAGCCAAAAGAGGAGAGATGCTGCTCCCTCCATTCCCAACAAAACAAAGAAAACCCCCCAAAAAACCCCCCAAAAGCAATCCTCCCCTCGGAAATAACTTTGTTGCGTTTCCTCAACGCTCTGCAGCCCTTCAGCCAGACTCCATACAATAAATCCTCATTTTAACACAGAGGAGGGATCCTCAGCTCACCTTTTGTCAGTTCCCCTGTCGGATCCACAGCAGCAGTCTCTCTCCCTCTCCCTCTCTGTCTGGAGCTGTCTGCTCTCCTGCGCTCCTCCGTACGTTTAATCGGGGCAGCGGCGGCGGTTGCGAAATGTGTTGACGCGCGCTTCGCCTTGTTCCAGTGGGCGGCGTGGCTCGGTGGCTGCTCGCCGTTTCTGTTTTTTCTCTTCCTATGTTTCAAAAACCCAGCGACAAACAGAGAGAGAGAGAGAGAGAGAGAGAGAAAAAGCCCTCCCACTGCCTCCACTCTGCGCTGGCTCAGCCTCCTCTCGGAGCGCGGATACGCCCTCTCACTGTGAGGAGGACACGCACACACGGTTACAGGCTCATTCAGGTGCAGTGGAACCGCGTCGCCACAGGGGTCGGGAGGGGTGGGGGTGCGATGCGGTGTGGATGTGTGGCCGCCGGTGTGCAGCCCCCGGGAGCAGGCAGACCGGAGTCCTGCTGCACCGCTGCGCTCCGCTGGATTTTCGTGGCTCCGACTGCACTGCAAGAAATGTCCATCCTGACACGGTTGCTGTGGTCTCTGGGCACAGTTTTAAAGTCGGGACAGAGGGGGCACACAGCCTGTCCTCTTTGTGCCCTCATGAGACACTTTTTGCCCTAATGTAAAAGAGACTGTGGCTGCCCAAATGCCCCCTCTGAGGTGCCCATAATTCTCACTTTTCATTGATCCAAGTGTCCCTCTTTTCAGCCCATATGCCCCCCTGTGGTCATCCCAAATGCCCTATTGTGGGGGGGTTCTGTGTGCTCAAATGCCCCTGCTGAGGCCCTCAGGTGCCTTTCTTGATGCTAAACGCCCCTCTGATTGCTCCGTGTCCCTCTGATCCACCTGAATGCCCCTCAGGTGACTCAACTGCCTTTCTTGTCCCCCATGTACCTGTTTGGTGACCCAACTGACAATAGTCTGGTTCCTCCCCTCAAAATGTCCTTTCAGCCACCAAACTGCCTGACTGTCTGTTAGGTTGTCTTTTAAATTTGAGTGTTTCATAGAGCATTAGATGACCCTCAGTTGCATTATATAGAAATTAGGATGTATTTCAAACACATTTAATGCATTTTTAATAATATCAAGCAAATATATTATATAATCTTAGAGGTCTTTCATGAACCCTCATGTGCAGATGAAGCCCAGGGCTCATAGACTCTGGCCCATAGAGCAAGTACTGCTTATCTTCCTCTCCTCGTTTTTATAATATATGTCCATAAAACGAGGTTTGTGTCATTGTATTTGTATACTGTCGTATGACTTTATCAAGAAGAATATAAACTACTATTTGCTAAACATATTGCATTGTGCAGATTTAAAGCCGTTTCTCCTAAAAAAAAACTGTGAAATATTCTGCCTGTAGAACGAAGTAAATACACTTATTTCCACTGAACTTTCAGACCTTTGAGGATCTGGAACATGGCAGTGTAGGAGGTTGCTGCATACACATTTAACAAGCAAGATTTCTACTCTGTGGTAAAGCGTTCTCCAGTATGCAGGAAGTAATAGGATTTGGAACAAATATCAGAAAATTCACTCAAAGCAGGAACTCAAACCTCTTCTGAAGAACATCAAAATGAAATGCCATGTAGCATCACTTTGTAAGCAACAATTGGGGTATAAAAGTCTAATTTTAGCACCAATGACCTTTTACGATTGATATTTTTTGCAGCGTGCAGCCACTCAGACAGCTCTCTAAAGAAACATTAACATGTTTCCTCTGTGATAAGTCAAGTTAGGACAGAGTTCTCTTATTTGGACTGATTATCACTCAACCGTAGACAATGCATTTCGGTCTTGAGGTGTAGCCTATAAAGCCTTTGTTCAAGAGATGAAGCGCTTGGCTAGTAAAATAAAAAAGAACGCCATTTAATATAATAGACTAGACAAGAGTAGAATATTCCCAATTCCTCAAAGGAGATAAAAACATTATAATAAAGTCAGTATTAATTCTCTGTGGAAGCACAGACACACTCCTGCTGTTCCTCTGAGAGCATTACAGGAGCATTATAAAGATCTTCTGTCGGGGAAGGAGCTCTGATTTGCTCTAAAATGATTTCACCGCCATCAGACTTGAACACTATAATTAAATGTGGTGACCAGAGTATAATTAAAAGTAGTGGCAATTACATTTTGCAGGAAGACGACTGCGCCGGCTCTCAGTTTTGGGTTAAATTATTAAAAGGGAACCCTGAGGATGCATTTAACAAGATGCTATATTTATATATAGTGTGTATATATGTGTGTGTGTGTGTGTGTGTGTGTGTGTGTGTGTGTGTGTGTGTGTGTGTGTGTGTGTGTGTGTGTGCGTGCGTGTGTGTGTGTGTTTGAATATCTTAGAAGCCACCTGGGCTGCAGGCCTGAGCCACGGTCCCTCTGGAGTTCACTGACAGTATCGCTGCAGTGTAAGCAGCCTTTGATATATTTGCTTTAATTATGGAGGATAATGAATTTAAATTTGTGATGCATCAAGGCTCTGAAATGGCAAGCCACCCCTGGAGCCCGTAAATGCCTGATACTGCTTCAGGCTCCAGGGGGAGTTTGGGAAATCTTATACAAGATTGAGCTGATGAAAATAGATAGGCCTCTGAAATGCTAATGCTGACTTTTGGTGCCTAAATCTGCAGCGGCCCGCTGGTTCAAATCCACTGATGTGTGTTTGTTGATGACACTTTCCCAGGGAGAGTAATGCTAACCTTTAGCTTACCCTAAGATAAATGCTGTACATTTTGTTCCTTGCTCACAAACTGCTCGACAGAAACCAACAAATTGTTCTTCTGAGATCAATCGTGTGGAACAAAAAGAAAGAAAAGAAAAAAAAAACATTCACTTCATTCTGTCGGCGAGCAGCGAAGCTTTAATCTGCCTCAATTTCTCACCCTTTGTTTCACAAGGAATTATCTGAAGCATGAGTTCTGCTCTCCGTCGACATCCATATTCGCTCCGTCCGCCCACGTGTAGCCGAGCCGCTGGCAATTAATTAAAGCAACCACATGCACCGCTCAGCCAGCCTGTCAGGCCTGCCAGTCATCAGAGCGGCGTGACAATGATCTGACCATCACCGGCTTAATTGGCATTCGGAGGACATCCTCTCCTCCTCACTGTAGGCTAAATAAACACACAGGCGGGCAGGATGCAACCTTCAGTCCTCGTTTCTCTTGATCAATAACCCCGCAACACCACATCTGACAGGCAGTAACAGCTACAGGGGCATTCTTTAACCTCTGCGTATGTTGACTGAGCAGGTTTGTTCTTTTACACACACACACACACACACACACACTGACAACAGAGGAGCTGCACAGAACAATTAGAAAACTTACTCTGAGGGACAGTTTAAAGGTCTGGTGTGCGGCGCTGCGGTCAAGGCCGCCTTCGAAGACCAGGACGAGTCAAGACCAAGACAGAAAAACAGAATGCTTTAGCCACAGCCAGTGAGATGAGTTTAAGTTTCCAATTGCGAATGACATTGATTGGCTGCCTGGTAGCCATGGTTCTGAACAAGCGCACTTCATCAATAGTCGTGTTTTAAAGGAGGAAGTTACTTAAATAACCTATATTGCTGTAGACTTTGCATGTGTCTGCACGGGTTTCCTCCCACGGTCCAAAGACACACCGGTTAATTGGCGGCTAATTAAACCCATTTTTCTGTAGGTGTGAATGCTTGTTTGTCTCTGCGTGTCAGCCGGTGATGAATTGGCGTCGTCTCCTGGGGGCTGCCCCACCTCTCACCCAGAGTCAGCTGGGATTGGCTCCGGCCCAAAGGATGAGCACTTACAGATAACAGATGGATGGACATGGAGTTTATGTATATATCAGCAAGCTGTCACTACTGTACATGTAGGCATACTTTAATGTTGTTATTTTTTTAGGTAGGCTATTTATGTGGCATGTGAGTGGTTCTGTACATGTTCTAGGACACCTTACATGAAAGAAAAAGTTACACAATGTGACTTGTTTTTTTCTGTGTTCCTGCCTGTTTTTCCACCCACCTTCTGAGACTGTATGTGGATATGGAGGAATAAGAGGAGAATATCACTGTTGATGGGACATTCTTTGCCTTGCTGACAAAAAGATGGCCCTTTAGTGTAGGAAGGAAAAACAAGCCGCGTTCCTATTTTCCTTGTCACTGTTCTTGTGTGTCTGTCGTGTATCGGCCAGCAGAGCTGCTCTATATCTGTGCTGTCAAGTATCTCTGTGCCTCTTTCAAGCCCCAGTTTTAAGGATGGTTCCAGTTTATAACAACTTTGCAGCGATGAAACTACCGTATATGCAGGTAATGCACAGACCTTTATCTCACCACTATCGTATCAATACATCTCAGTATTTAATGTATAAGTATGTATAGCAATGAGACAAGTCATCTGCTTGATGGCGTCTCATACTTGAGAATAAATAAACAACATACAACAGTTTTACACACACAAGCATGTAGTTTATTGACTGATTGTCTAATGTAACTAATTTCTATCAATGTGCAAAAATGTGAGTGTGAGAAGTTTCAAGCCAGTGAGAGATGAGCAATAGAGTACAAACACAGAAGAACAGCAGAGGAGCCGAGAAAGAATAACATATTTTTACTAATGCTAGCTCTCTCGCCATCCAACACTGTGTTGAGAACGAAGTGCAAGCGAGCAAGTTATATATTTATATAAGAGATATTTACAAAGATGACATGACCTCGGCAGATCCAGAAACTAACCAAGATATTGATTGTAGTGTCCTGCATGGCCCAAAAACTCCAGCTGTAGCCCGGCCTGAAAAAGTCTGCAATTTTTTGAAAGGAGAGAAGTTAAATGAGCCAGAGTACAACCCCGAGCCCGGTCTTTAAAAAAAGACCTGAGCCGAGCCAGAATCGACTCAGCACAAACCTCTAGTTGATCGTAGGCAACGACTCTATCATCTGTGCCGTTTTACTGCTTTTCTTAATAATTCTGGGTTAAATAGACGACTTCACAAAGCAAAAAGAGTGCGTATTTATTATTTATTTGACTAATAATCAGCCTATACTCATGCGCAGACATGAATAATGTTCTCAATGTGCCGTCTCCAATAAGTTACACTAATGTTATGGAGCTCTGATACCAGATTCTTTCTTGACCTTGTTATTACGTCTCCTCCTCTGTAGCACGGCTGTTTGTCTAGCAATGATTTAATTTAGGCGTCCGTCAACCGTGCAGTGGGACCTGGCGCTGCCTCGTTGTGCCACCGCATCTTATTATTTAGGTGTTACCTGTGCTTCGTGTCAGTTATTAACATAACATTAAGTCCACTAATCCAACTAAGGTTT